TCACACATCACACACACATCACACACACTACGCACACAATACACACACTCACACATCACAGTACACACACATCACACATCACACACACATCACACACACACGCACGCAATACACACACTCACACATCACAGTACACACACTCACACATCACACACACGCACACACACACATCACACACACCCACACGCACACATCACACACTACACACACTCACACGCACGCAATACACACACTCACACATCACAGTACACACACTCACACATCACACACACATCACACACACACACGCACGCAATACACACACTCACACATCACAGTACACACACTCACACATCACACACACGCACACAGTACGCACACACGCACACAATACACACACTCACACATCACACACACGCACACAGTACGCACACACGTACACACTACACACACACGCACACACTACACACACACTCACACGCACACATCACACACACGCACACAATACACACACTCACAAGCACATACTACACACACACGCACACACACTCACACGCACTCACACGCACACACTACACACATACACTCACACGCACGCACCACACACACACCCACACACTCACTACACACACACGCACGCACCACATACACACATCACACACACACATTACACACATCACACACACACACATTACACACATCACACACACGCACACACTACACACACTCACACGCATGCAGGACAAAGACACACACTACACAACGACAAAGATCCCCCATATAGTCTGAACAGACTATCGGGGCAAGTGCTGTTAGCGAACAATTATGAAGACCCGAACAGCACACGAGGGGGGTGGGGTGGCCAGCACCACGCCCGACCGCCTTTGTCTCCCCGGTGACGATGTTTACACACCGCACCAGGTGCTCATTTGAAGCTGAGTCGACCTAGGGGAGGCCCAGGACCGGTTCAAATAATCGTCACTGGTGTTGGTTGCCGTGAGCGGTAATCGGGCTCGTGTTGCCGGGTTCGTAGCGGAGCGCGCTAACCGCTACACCACCGCTCCCCCCACACAAAGATCACCCGTATAGCCTTAACAGACTGTAGGGGCAAGTGCTGTTAGCGAGCACACGCACGACCAAGGCACACACTACGCAAAGACAAATATCTACCGTATAGCCTTGACAGACTTTTATGGAAAGTGCTGTTAGCGAGCAGCAACTATGAAGACCGGCACGGCACACGAGGGGGTGGTGTGATCAGCACATGCATCGCACACCCTCACCCACACACTAACCTACACTCACCCACACTCACCCACACTCACCTACACTCACCTACACCCACCCACACTCACCTACACTCACCTACACCCACCTACACTCACCCACACTCACCCACACTCTCACCTACACTCACACACACTCAATCTCTCACTCACACACAATCTCTCACTCACACACACTTAATCTCTCACTCACACACAATCTCTCACTCACACACAATCTCTCACTCACACTCACCCACACGAAATCTCTCACTTACACACACTCACTCACACTCACTCCATCTCTCACTCACACTCACTCAATCTCACACTCACACTCAATCACTCACCCTCACTCGCACACACTCAATATTTCACTCACACACACTCAATCTTTCACTTACACACACTCACTCACACACACCCAATCACTCACTCACACACACTCAATCTTTCACTCACACACAATCTCTCACTCACACACACTCAATCTTTCACTCACACTCACCCACACTAAATCTCTCACTTACACACACTCACTCACACACACTCAATCTTTCACTTACACACACTCACTCACACACACCCAATCACTCACTCACACACACTCAATCTTTCACTCACACTCACCCACACTAAATCTCTCACTTACACACACTCACTCACACTCACTCAATCTCTCACTCACACTCACTCAATCTCACACTCAATCACTCACTCACACACACTCACCCTCACACACACTCACCTTCACTCGCACACACTCAATCTCTCACTCACACACAATCTCACACACACACAATCTCACACACACTCAATCTCTCACTCACACTCACACTCAATCTCTCACTCACACACAATCTCACACACACACAATCTCACACACACTCAATCTCTCACTCACACTCAATCTCTCACTCACACACAATCTCACACACACACAATCTCACACACACTCAATCTCTCACTCACACTCACACACAATCTCACACACACACAATCTCACACACACACAATCTCTCACACGCAATCTCTCACTCACACACAATCTCACACACTCTCAATCTCTCACTCACACTCACACACAATCTCTCACACACAATCTCACACACACACAATCTCTCACTCACACACAATCTCACACACACTCAATCACTCACTCACACTCGCACACACTCAATCTCTCACTCACACGCACACACTCACCCACACTCACACCTACACTCACCCACACTCACACACGCTCACCAAACCTCCCGCTCCCCCGCACACACTCGCCCACACTCATTCTCATGCTCGCCCACAATCACGCGCCCTTGACTCACGGTGACAATGACAGAACCTCGGCGGACAGGAGGATGAAGATGGTGAGGAGGAGGAGGAGGATGAGGAGCATGGAGCAATCGGTCTTGCGCAGAAGGAATGGGCGATCGCCTGTGGGAGAGGGGAGCGGGGGGGGGCGGGATGGGTGGGACTGTGGTTGGGTGGACGCGGCGAGCAACAAAAATGGACAAATGAGTCGATGGTCAACGAGACGCACGAGGAGAGGAGAGCAACGCCGTGACGTCACAGAGGTCACGGACACGTGACTGCGCACCACGACGCACGTGCGCGAAAGCACGTGACATGCAGAATCGCTGACGATTATGTACAGAGTGTCGCCTTGAACAGAGTGTTGGGGCAGCCTGTGTGCTGTTAGCGAACAGCTATCAATGTCGGCACGGCACACGAGAGGACGCCTTTGTCTCCCCCATGGCGGATGTTTACACACCGCACCAGCTACTCATTTAAGGCTGAGTTGACCTAGGGGATGAGGCCCAGGACCGGTTTTAAATCATCGCCGCCGTTTTTGTTCCCGAGTGGGAATCTAACTCGGGTTGGTAGCGCAGCGCGGTGACCACTATGCCACCGCCCCCCACTGTACACACACATTTATAACAACAACAACAACCGCCGATCGCCACCAAGTGGCGGTGACGTCACCGCGGCGCTTGTGCCAGGCTAGGTGCACGTTAAGGCCACGTGAACTGTCGAAGGCCCGCTGGCAGGAGGTCACGGACCAGACACAGGTGCCATGGACTGACTAACTGAGATGACTGGCAGATGCGCCACCTGTGCTCCCTACCGTGCAAACTCGCTGCTTGTTATCCATCCCCAAAGACAAAGATTCCCCCTTGTAGCCTTAACAGACTGTTGGGGCAAGTTCTGCTAACGAGCACTTATGATGGCCGGCACGGCACACGAGGGGGTGAGTAGCCAGCACCACGCCCGGCCGCCTTTGTCTCCCCAGTGGCGATGTTTACTACACCGAACCAGGTACTCATTTGAGGCTGAGTTTGACTTAGGGGAGGCCCAGGACCGGTTCAGATTATCGTCACTGATGTTGGCCGTGAGCGGGAATCGAACTCGGCTCGCCGGGTTCGTAACGCAGCGTGCTGACCGCTCCTGCATCCCCACCACCATCACCACCATCACCACCATTACCGACACACAAGCCCCCTTTTGCCCGCTCCTTACCTCCTCCTCCCTCCCATCACCTCCTCACCACAGACCACCCGGCACCACCCTCACCCCCACCCACCCCCCTCGACTCACCTTCGGTGTGCACCGCTGAGACGTACGTCCAGTTGTACCTCTTCACGATGTCGAGCATAGCCTGCGCCTGCAGCTGATCGGAGGGCACGACGCGCATGAAGTACTTGAAGAGCGACTTGTCGCTCAGGTCGATGCTCGTGGCCGAGTAGGCGATCTGCGGGATGTTGAAGAGCTGCAGGAGGTTCTGCACCTGGATGGCCACGGAGCTCGAGCCGGGCCCGATGAGGCCGACGATCGGACGCTTGGCGCGCACGGGGGCCTCCTGGCATCGGCCGACACCCCCTGGGGCAGCCGCGGCAACGGCCGCAGCCGCCGCCGCCGCCACATCCTTGGGGTCGTCGCCGGCGGACGTGAGCGAGTCTCTGATGAACTCGATGCTCTGCTCGAGTGCCACGTTCGAGTGCCAGCACGAGTCTCTGATCTCGCATCCGAGGGTGATGCCGGGCAGCAGCGCCGGGTCGGCGTTGATTCGGTCGAGGGTGTGGAACATCGCCTCCACCCGCTGGATGCCGTACTGCTCGCGGATCTCGCCGCACTTGCGCTCCGACACCTTGTCGGCCGGGGGTTGGTGGTGCACCGAGAAGAGGGCGCCGATGATGAGGTCGCCGTCTCTGCGCGCCACGACGCGGCGGCCCGGGGTGCCCTGGGAGCCCGCCAGGCGCGGCAGGAGGATGGCCACGAGGGCGAAGCGTGGTGCCAGCGACCAGCGCATCGTGGTGGTCGTGGTGGTGGCGGTGGTGGCGGTGGTGGTGGTGGTAGCGGTGGTGGTGGTGGTAAGAGTGTGTACAGGCGTGGGTGTGTGTTCGATTGTGAGCAAGGAGTGTGTGAGTGTGAGAGTGATTGTGTGTGTGTGCGAGTGAGTGTGCGTGTGCACGCGTGAGTGTGTACGAGTGAGTGGGTGTGTGTGCGAGTGTGTGTGTGTGCGAGTGAGTGTGTGCGTGTGCGAGTGAGTGTGTGTGTGTGAGTGTGTGTGTGCGAGTGTGTGTGTGCGAGTGAGTGTGTGAGTGTGTGTGTGCGAGTGAGAGTGTGCGTGTGCGAGTGAGTGTGTGTTTGTGTGCGAGTGAGTGTGTGCGAGTGAGTGTGTGTGCGAGTGTGTGAGCGAGTGAGTGAGTGTGTGCGAGTGAGTGTGTGCGTGTGCAAGTGAGTGTGTGTGTGCGTGTACGAGTGAGTGTGTGTGTGCGAGTGTGTGTGCGTGTGAGTGTGTGCGAGTGAGTGTGTGTGCGAGTGAGTGTATGCGTGTACGAGTGAGTGAGTGTGTGTGCGAGTGCGTGTGTGCACGCGTGTGTCTCTGTCGATGTCTATCAATGTGTCAGCCTCATTTTACGTAACTCTGTCTGCCGTGTTCCTGTCTGTCTGTAAGTTCGTGTCTATCTGTCCTCTTGCCCGTCTCTTTGTCTCTCTCGGCTCATCGCCCCGTTCGTCTCCAAGTCTTTCTGTCCGTCGTCCGCCGCTCGATATTTCTCACCGCCCGTTAGTGCCTCGTATCCGTCCGTCTATCTATCGATCTATCTGCTCGTACCGTCCGTCTCATCTAATCTGGACGCCCATCTGTCCTTCTGTCTGTCTATCATCCGTCCGTCTGTGTGGCTCCTGCCCGGCTACGATCGCTCTCGAGTCGACGAAGAGCGAGAGGAGGAGGAGGAGGCAGCGAGGGACATCGCTCGCTCGGGCCGGGTCGCCTCGCCGTCGTCACCGCGTAACTCCACGGCCTCCCACGTGCTCGTGACGCTTCGATACTTATCGATGAGCTACTCAAAATCGTTCTTCTGAATTAACGAATTAACCCCCCTCCACCCCCCTCCCCCCCTCACGATTCTTGACGCGTTAATTCGTCCGTGGATGTCTTCTCGTATCGCTGCGATGGAGCTCACGCGACCGATCGATGTCTCCTGCGGTTTTAAACAATCACCTGCTTCTCCTCCCTCCCTCTCTCTCTCTGACTCTCTCTCTCTCTCACTCTCCACTATCTCCAACTATCTCCTCTCTGTCCACCTCGGGTGATGTCTGTCTCTCGCTCTCGTTCTCTCGCTGCCGCACGCGCACAATGCCGAGTGAGCGAGCGTGGAATTCCAGCAGGCACCGAGCGGGGCCCAGGAACGAAGGCGAAGCACCCCCCGCGGCAAAGGGGATGGGCGGGCAGAGGGACGGGGAGCGCAGCAGAGAACACAATCAGGCACGAGGTAATCAGCCGCGGCGGATCAATTCCACCAGCTCCACCCCCAGTCCCCCCACCTTCACTCCGCCCTGCCCCCTCCCCCTGTCCCCCACCACAACCACAACCATGACTCCGTCTCCATCACTAGCCCACAGACCCCACAGCCCCGCCCCCCACATTCACTCTACCCTGCCCCCTCCCCCTGTCCCCCACCAGCACCACCACAACCGAGACTCCGTCTCAATCGCTAGCCCACAGACCCCCACAGCCCCCAGAGCCCCGCCCCCCACATTCACTCCACCCTGCCCCCTCCTCCTGTCCCCCACCACCACCACAACCACAACCGAGACTCCGTCTCCATCGATAGCCCCCCACAGCCCCCCCCCCCCCCCCACACCGCCCCGTCCTCCTCTCCTTGTCCCTTCGTGAATTGAGCGCGCGCACAAAACGAGCCACGCGTCCAAAGCCGCGCGCGGAGACTCTCGCTTGCTGCTGCTGCTGCCCGGCGAGGCCGATGCCCTAGCGGAGCTGTTGCCGAATGGAGCTCACCCCCAGCGGGGCCGTTGCCTAGCGGAGCTGTTGCCGAATGGAGCTCACCCCCAGCGGGGCCGTTGCCTAGCGGAGCTGTTGCCGAATGGAGCTCACCCCCAGTGGAGCCATTGCCGAGTGGAGCTGTTGCCGAATGGAGCTCACCCCCAGTGGAGCCGTTGCCTAGCGGAGCTGTTGCCGAGTGGAGCTCACCCCCAGTAGAGCCGTTGCCGAGCGGAGCTGTTGCCGAATGGAGCTCACCCCCAGTGGAGCCGTTGCCTAGCGGAGCTGTTGCCGAGTGGAGCTCACCCCCAGCGGGGCCGTTGCCTAGCGGAGCTGTTGCCGAATGGAGCTCACCCCCAGTGGAGCCGTTGCCGAGCGGAGCTGTTTCCGAATGGAGCTCATCCCCAGCGGGGCCGTTGCCGAGTGGAGCTGTTGCCGAATGGAGCTCATCACCAGTGGAGCCGTTGCCGAGTGGAGCTGTTGCCGAATGGAGCTCATCCTCAGTGGAGCCGTTGCCTAGCGGAGCTGTTGCCGAATGGAGCTCATCCTCAGTGGAGCCGTTGCCGAGCGGAGCTGTTGCCGAATGGAGCTCACCCCCAGTGGAGCCGTTGCCTAGCGGAGCTGTTGCCGAATGGAGCTCATCCCCAGCGGGGCCGTTGCCGAGTGGAGCTGTTGCCGAATGGAGCTCATCCCCAGTGGAGCCGTTGCCTAGCGGAGCTGTTGCCGAATGGAGCTCACCCCCAGTGGAGCCGTTGCCGAGCGGAGCTGTTGCCGAATGGAGCTCACCCCCAGTGGAGCCGTTGCCTAGCGGAGCTGTTGCCGAATGGAGCTCACCCCCAGTGGAGCCGTTGCCGAGCGGAGCTGTTGCCGAATGGAGCTCACCCCCAGTGGAGCCGTTGCCTAGCGGAGCTGTTGCCGAATGGAGCTCACCCCCAGTGGAGCCGTTGCCTAGCGGAGCTGTTGCCGAATGGAGCTCACCCCCAGTGGAGCCGTTGCCGAGCGGAGCTGTTGCCGAATGGAGCTCACCCCCAGTGGAGCCGTTGCCGAGTGGAGCTGTTGCCGAATGGAGCTCATCCTCAGTGGAGCCGTTGCCGAGTGGAGCTGTTGCCGAATGGAGCTCACCCCCCCCCCCCCAGTGGAGCCGTTGCCGAGCGGAGCTGTTGCCGAATGCAGCGTTTGTCGAATGGAGCTATCGGCGAGTAGAGTTATTGCCTAGCGGAACATTCTAGAGGGGCCCATCCCGCTGTGCTGGGTACCCATTCGTGAGGCCAAGCAACACCAACGTGGCGAAACGTGGTACAATAACCCCCCACGACCTTGGCGAAGGGATATAAATCGTGATTTGTGCCATTACGATTGATCGCATTGTTTAAACGCTCCCACACGCGGTACTTTTACGAGGACATACTCCCCCCCAAAGCGTTTTCACAGACTATTTGGGGCAAGTGCTGTTAGCGAGTAGCACCTACAAAGGCCGGCAAGGCACACGAAGGGGGGTGAGGTGGCCAGCACCACGCCCGGCCGCCTACGTCTCCCGAGTACTGATTTCTACGCACCGTACAAGGTACTCGTTTGAGGCTGAATCGACCTAGGGGAGGCCCAGGACCGGTTTCAGATCATCGTCACCGGTGTTGGCCGTGAGCGGGAATCTAACTCTGGTTGCTCAGGTTCGTAGCGCAGTCCCCCAATCACTGCACCACCGCTCCTCCCACGATAATCGATAACAGGCACGCGGTCGCACAGCAGCCATCGATGACCTCCGTCCTCTGGACGTGAACTCGATACGGGTGGGTGGTTCGGGACAGGCTGATGGTGAGTCCGCTACTAAACCGTCATCATCACGGTGGCTCGGAGATGTTAATTACCTCGCCTGGAATGCAGGAGGAAGTGGGTTCGATCCCGACCCTGACGCCTGCTGTAGATTTGGAGTTTGCGTTTCTCTCTCTCTCATCATCATCACGGTGGCTAGGGGATGTTAACTACCTCGCCTGGTATGCAGGAGGTCGTGGGTTCGATCCAAACCCTGACGCCTGCTGTATATTTGGAGTTTGCGTCTCTCATCATCATCACGGTGGCTAGGAGATGTTAACTACCTCGCCTGGTATGCAAGTGATAGTGGACTCGATCCCGACCCTGACGCCTGCTGCATATTTGTAATTTGCGTGTCTCGCTCATCATCATCATCATCATCACGGTTGTAGGAGATGTTACTGTAACTACCTCGCCTGGTATGAAGGAGGTAGTGGGTTCGATCCCGACCCTGACGCCTGCTCTATATTTGGAATTTGAGTGTCTCTCTCTCTCGCGTGAATTTTACTCAGGATCCTCCATTTTTTCTCTCCACATTTAGAGGCATGCGTTTAGAAGATGTGGCTTCTAGAAATGTCACCATGAATATCCACAAAAAGAGCTGTATATAGCTAAGTGAACCTTACCTAGTAAAATAAAAACGTCATTGTAGATTTATACCGCAGCTACGTGCCCCTCCGTATACATATTTTTCCCACCAATTAAAACCCAGTGAGCTCTTATCTATTTCTCAGAAGCGACCTGATCACAATGATAGCTCAACAAAGAAGGTCACTGGATCGCGCGCTTTCATATGCGCTTCTGCGGCCGTCTGGAACGCTCTTCCTCCCGATATTAGGAAGCCACACGGAGCAATGCACTTGTAAATAATCTAGATTGGCAAACTAGTTTATCTAAAATTGATGTCTGTGTTTAGTTTATTGTCCTTCCCCCGCACCTCCGATTAGCACGGTTGGCTACGTACGGTGCGAATGAAGTTCAACACGCACACGAAGTGGCTTATTGCGTGGTCATTTACAGCAGGAGCCAAATGTCCTCAAGCGTGTTTGATTCTCAGCGTGAAGAGGTAGAACTTTGGACAGCGCCTTGCGATGCGGTCTGAGTTATACGCTCGGGCAGACATGACAACGATCTCGGTTCGCACGGCGCGTACGCAGATTGCATTGCGTAATTATACCGGTTATGTCGTGGCGATGGTGGTGATCGTGGTGATAGTAGCGATGGTGGCGGTGATGGTGGTGGTGATGGTGGCGATGGTGGTGATCGTGGTGATAGTAGCGATGGTGGCGGTGATGGTGGTGGTGATGGTCGTGGTGGAAATGGTGGAGGTGGCGATGGTGGTGGTGGTGGTGGCGATAATGATGGTGGTGGCGATGGTGCTGATGGTGGTGATAGTGGCGATGGTGGTAGTGGCGATGATGGTGGTGATGGTGGCGATGGTACTGGTGATGGTGGTGGTGGCGATGATGGTGGTGATGGTGGCGATGGTGGTAGTGGTGATGGTGGTGGTGGCGATGGTGGTGGTGATGGTGGCTATGGTGGTGGCAATGGTGGCGGTGGTGATTATGCTGGGGCGTTGGCAGCGGTGCACAACCAACAACAACAACAACAGCGGCTGAACACGTCCCGTGCGAGAAGCAGCACTGTGTGTGCGCGGCCTTCAAACGAAATTATATGCAAAAAATAAGCGACGTTTCGGGCAATGGCCTTTTTTCACAACATATACAGAAGTCATAGAAGCATCTAAGGCATCTACGGTCTCTGTGAAGAAGGGCCATTTCCCGAAACGTCGCCTATTATATATTTGAAGGGTTGGGCTTATTTACGATTGCATTTTTTGCCATTGCATGAAGGCCACCATCCATTTATGAACGACTCGATTAATTCTGAATCAGAATATGTTTCTCATACTGGAGGAATCCGATGATCTGTAAAACTCTTTTTCACAGATAATGTAAATAACGATGATTTGCGAGGCCCCCCTCTGTCAATCCACTGCTGGTTCAAGGCCTCTCCCCACGCTGTGTTGTTGGTCGTTGCGTTTGTTTGACCATACTTCACCGCGCTGGTCACTGCGGGTTGGGGGTGGCGATGGGGGGGTTCACGAACCCACGTGTTCCTCCTGCCGCAACCTCGCAGCAGTCTGATCGATCTTTAGGTGATCCACCAACGCCGAATTTAAAACGGCCTCGCCCAGTGCTGTGAGTCGCGTCCGCTCGCGGGCCAAGAACGACCAAGTTCGACACCAGGTGTCCAACTCCTGTTGCCGTCTAAGTGTGCGGTCGCATTGGGGACAATTTATGTATTCATCTTCTTGGTTCTTTCGGTAAAGTCACGTAGAAGGAAAATAATAAAATAATAAAAATAAAACATAATAAAATAATTATCACGACGTTTCGGCTACAACGCAAGCAGCCGTCCTCGGGTGAAGAATGAGAACGGCTGCTTGCGTTGTAGCCGAAACGTCGTGAGAATTATTTTATCATGTTTTATTTTTATTATTTTATTATTTTCCTTCTACGTGACTTTACCGAAAGAACCAAGAAGATGGATCCCTGCAGTCACGAAAGCTTTACATCGAAATTTATGTATTTTTTAAGAGTTCACCTATGAAGGCTTCGCCGAGCCTCGTGAGTCACTCTTGGGAGGGCCCTGCCACAGCAAGCGACGTGTGTGTTGTCCATGAACGCTATGGTGCATTCGTTGATTGACGACTGACTTCGCTCCGTGATGAGAGCAGGAGAACGGAGAACCCACCGGAGGAAAAACCCCACCACGCATACGAAGGGGCAAATCATTCAAAACCTCTACACAGATAGATTCAATAATCTAGCGTAATTAACCTGGGAGGTTTGGCCGTGAATTCCGTGAGTGAATGGGAGTTTGGCTCCGTGCTGGAGGAGGAAACGGGTGAACCCTGGAGAAATCCCTACCTGCTGTAGACGAAACAGGTAGACACTCAGCAACATCACCTCCTGACCACCACCTCGCCTACAGCACCTGGCAAGCCCCTGGTGAAGGTGGTCACCCGTCCAAGGTACGGACTAACCAGGCTGGAGCCCTGCTTAGCCCCTGAGATCCGGCGAGATCGGGGGCGTTCGGGGTGACTCCGTTCAGGAGTGTCACGTTAAATTAAATCGTCGTGTCTAATACTACTTGACGTGAAACCTTTACAGGATTACACGCCATATCAATCGCGCCGCATCTGTGGGGTGAGTTGGTGGCGCAGTGGGTTTAACGCGTAGGCTTGAACGAGGCTGATTGTATTTACCGGCGAAACGTCGGACTCGAATTGTAAATGCTGTAGTTGGCACACTCTCCAACACAGAACCGATGTGGGTTACTAGTAACGAATTGGCACGTGCTGTTTACGTGATAAAGGTTACGAATTGGCTGTGTCGGATGACGGTGGGCTTAACGAGGCATTGATGTTTTACGCGATCTAACCCAAACAGCCTCTACTATGGTGGCGCAGTGGCTACCGCACTGCCCACTCCTCCCACCAACAAGGTGACCCGACCGAGTTCGACTCCCGGCCACGGCGATCATCAGCGGCGAGAGACGTCTTCACAAGTTCTACTCTTAGTTCTTTCGGTAAAGTCACGTAGATAAAAAATGAAATTAAAATTAAGAAAAATATTTTTTATTAAAATTCTTTTTTATTAATTTTTATCTTTCGGTAAAGTCACGTAGGTAAAAAATGAAATAAAAATTATTTTAATTAATTTTAATTTCATTTTTTACCTACGTGACTTTACCGAAAGATTAAAATTAATAAAAAATAATTTTAATTTCATTTTTTTTACCTACGTGACTTTACCGAAAGATTAAAATTAATAAAAAATTATTGTAATTTCATTTTTTACCTACGTGACTTTACCGAAAGATTAAAATTTCTAAAAAAGAATTTTAATTTCATTTTTTACCTACGTGACTTTACCAAAAGATTAAAATTTATAAAAAAGAATTTTAATTTCATTTTTTACCTACGTGACTTTACCGAAAGAATCCTTGCAGTCACGAAAGCTTCAAATCTAGAATTCACGAATGCTGACAACTGGCTCACAGCCGCCCTCCAAGGCCGCCTCTCCCGGCCCGAACCCAAGATCGTTGTCTTCTGACCAGCGTGGTGAAGTATGGCTCAACAAATATCCCTCGAGCGACGCGGCGTGGAAGAAGGGGGGGGGGGGAAGCCTTCATCCAGCAGTGGACTGACATCACGCGCGTTCCGGTCGCTGCGTTGCGATCGTAACGCGATCCGGCAGTGCGAGTGACCGTGATACAGGTCACCTGTTGGCATTTATGGCAGACGTCGTCCGATGTTTATTTAATTGTCTATACATTTTCAACAACAACAGCAGCGACGATAACAAAACGAGCAGATATCCCCGTCGTCGTCGTCGTTATGATCATTATCATCATCAGCCATTGTCCATCCACTGCTGGATGAACGTCTCCGATATACCGTGGTGTAAGTCTCCACGGTGTCGTGTTCTGGCAAGGTTGAGATAGGGCAGCGTCTCTCTGTCTGCGCATTGTCTATATATATAATATAGAGGTTTGTTTTGGGTTAGATCGCGTAAATATGTGTCGTTAAACCCGCCACCACCCGACACAACCAATTAGTAAGGTTTTTCACGTAAACAGAACGTGGCCAATTGGTTACTAGTACAGCAACACCGCTGTGTGTTGGAGAGCAAAGCCACGACATTTGCAATCTGAGTACAACGTTTCGCCAGTAATTACAGCTAGCTTCATCAGGCGACAGCCATAATTTGTGGAGAAACCCTCCTCCTGTTTCTCTGCCTCTCTGTCCGTCTCTCTGGGTCTGCCCTTGCTTGTCCGCCTGCCCGTCTCTTTGTCTACTTGTCTCTTCATGCATCCCACCCTCTGTGCGTCTCTCTTTCCGTCCGCATGTCTCCGTCTGTATTCATGTCTCTCCCCACGTGTCTGCCTCTGGATTGCCGTCTGTACGTCTGTCACTCCATCAACATGTGTCACTCTCCGTCCCTGTCCATCTCCGATCCCCTGCCCGTCTCTCTGCCCGTCTGTCTCTTTGTGTCTCGATGTCTGCCTCTCCTTCTGTCTACCAAAGTGCATGACGCACAAAAAATACCCACAAAGATCACCCGTAATAGCCTCAATAGACTGCCGATGGAAGTGCTGTTAGCGAGCACCTATGAATGCCGGCACGGCACACACACACACGCAGCTACACTGGCTGAGTCACTCTCCCCAGACGCAGGAAACGCTCCCTGCTCTCGTTCGCTCTCTCTCTCTCCCCTCCTCCTCTTTCTCGCCGTGATTGCGTGCAGCCGCGTTCGCGGGGCCCTAATTGTGTGCGGATGACTCCCTAACAGAGACATCATGAGCCCCCTCTCGACGGGAGGTCGCTCCCTCTGCTTCTCCGCTTCTCTGTCGATCTCTCCGTCTGTCTGTCTCGATGTCAGTATGTGTAGTTGTCTGTATTCCTGTTAAATTGTCTGTCTGTCTGTCCGTCTGCCTGGCTGTCTGTCTCGATGTGAGTATGTGTAGCTGTCTGTATGCTTGTTACCTCGTCTGTCTGTCTGTCTCGATGTCAGTATGTGTAGTTGTCTGTATTCCGGTTACATTGTCTATCTGTCCATCTGCCTGTCTGTCTGTCTGTCTCGATGTGAGTATGTGTATCCGTCTGTATGCCTAGTACCTCGTCTGTCTGTCTGTCTGTCTGTCTCGATGTCAGGATGTGTAGCTGTCTGTATACATTGTCTGTCTGCCTGTCTGTCTGTCTCGATGTGAGTATGTGTATCCGTCTCTATGCCTGTTACCTTGTCTGTCTGTCTATCTGCTTGTTTGTCTCTTTGTCCGCTTGTCTCCCCGTCTGTCTGCCCGTCTGTCTCCCCGCCTGTCTCTCCGCTGTCCGTGGTTACTGAACCGCTGAACCCACTTTTACCCCGTTCCAGTCCAGACTCAAGCCTGTCCCCCATGCTTCCCCCGCGCATCCGACCTCTCCGCGTCTCTCCATCCTCCACGTGTCTTTACGCTTCAACCATCACCATCTTCCTCGACTAAATCGCCGTGCGCGCACAACCCCCCTGCACCTGCGTCGTACGCGAACTCTCGCGATCGACTCCCTCAACCGCCAGCGACATCACTAACTAAAAAACAAAGATCCCCCGCGCGGCCTCTAACCTGCGGACTGCCGGGGCAAGTGCTAACAGCGAGCAGCACCTATTAAGCCCGGCACGAGGGAGGGGGTGGGGGAAGGTGGTGTTATTAAGCACCACGCCCGGCCACCTTTGTTTCCCCGTGTGCTGATGATGCTTGCGCACCGCACTAGATACTGCTCTAGTTTAAGGCTGAGTCGATCTAGGGGAAGGGGGGAGTTGTGACTCGCTCGTAAAGAGAGACACACACACGCGCGCGCGCATACATCATCATCGCTCGTTCGCCGCGGCTGCTGGTACCTGGAGCAGTGTTTTCCGATGACAGACGGGACGAGATGGACGATGATCGATAATTCTCTCGCCAACAACAACAACAACAACGAACAACGACGAACACCAACAACAACTATTATCGTGACAACAATAAGATTAACAATGACGACGGCTTAATCGGCCGATGACACGTTCGTGTATCTAACACGGAATGTGACCAGCGTGAACGCGCAGTGATGCTTCGCGCTCGATGGCACACGCTCTCTGTCGGCTCGCCTAGGAGGGGGGGTGGGGGTCTTTGCCTGGGAGATGTTGGGCGGGTGGGGGGGGTGAATGGAGGGGGGGGTGTGAGCGCAATGTGTTAGGAGAAGGGTGGGTGGTGGGTGGGTGGAGGATGATGCTGGGGTGGGGGGTGTCGGCGGAGATGCGTGTGTCGATTGGCCGCGTGGGGGGGTGGTGGTGATGGTGGTGCTGAATTGTTGAGCTGCGTTGCCATCTCGCGGTGCAGTGGGGAACGGCGACTTGCCCTGGCTTTGTTACACAACAGAGGTCTTTGCTTTTAGATTTGAAGCTTTCGTGACTGCAAGGATTCATACTCTTAGTTCTTTCGGTAAAGTCACGTAGGTAAAAAATGAAATTAAAATTATTTTTTATTAATTTTAATCTTTCGGTAAAGTCACGTAGGTAAAAAATGAAATTAAAATTATTTTTTATTAATTTTAATCTTTCGGTAAAGTCACGTAGGTAAAAAATGAAATTAAAATTGTTTTTTATTAATTTTAATCTTTCGGTAAAGTCACGTAGGTAAAAAATGAAATAAAAATTATTTTTATTAATTTTAATCTTTCGGTAAAGTCACGTAGGTAAAAAAATGAAATTAAAATTAATAAAAATAATTTTAATTTCATTTTTTACCTACGTGACTTTACCGAAAGAACTAAGAGTATGTCTTTCCTTTTGTGTCGGTGAGATCGCGTCAATGTGAGTGTCTCGTTAAACCCGCCACCACCCGACCACAGCCAATGAAGTTAATGTTTGTGACGTAAAGGGCCGTCCATAAATGACGTCACGCGATATTGGACGATTTTTACCGCCCCCCCCCACCCCCTCGTCACACGGCGTCACAAAAAGTCAGACCCCCCGCCTCAAATATGACATCACAAAGCTCCACCCCCCCCAAAAAAAAAACATGCTTCAAATCGCTTTAAACTATTGTCATTGTAGTGCGTATTTAATGTGGCGCTGCACTCTGATGTTGTAGGAGAAAACATTTCATAAAAAGTCAATTTAATTAAGTAGAACGTGTTGTCTACATTTATTTAAAGTTGTGCATTTTTACGTGACGTCACATTTCTCAAACAACCCCCCCGCCTCGTCACACATCGTCACAAATATCTAACCCCCCCCCCCCCCCAGGTGCGTGACGTCATTTATGGACGGCCCCATGGATGCAAATCTCTCGACAGCCTTCGAGAGTGGCGAGGTGGCGGCAGAGAAACGTGCAGCAGCAGCGCCATCTGGCGGGGAGCCGCAGCTCTGCTCTGTCTGTGTATCTCCATTCACCTTATTATTGTTAAATCCTTAATATTAAGTTCGCTTGCTTGCTTGCTTGCGTGCTTGCTTGCTTGCTTACGACCGTGCAAACCTTTCGGTCGTTTTTTAACCCACTTCCCGTGATCCAATCGAGCTGACATTTTGCACACAGACTCGTTGTGCGAGACAATTAATGTTCGTGAAATTTTTTTTCCAAAATTTTACACTGTTTAGGGAAAACAAATTAAATATTTAATTACCAATTGTTTAATACTGCAGACAATCATCTGACCTATAGGTGGCAGCCATCTCAAGCCAGAGGACGAGAGGACTCTAGCCGCCACGCATATAAAGGATTTAGAGTGAAAAACTTTGTTTTTACGGGTTATACTTATTTTTATGTTTTGTCTTTCTTTGGAATTTTCACACTTAAATTCTAACTTAGCAATCTTTGAAATACGTAATCGACCAGGCTATGCGTTAATTGTGTGTTGACCGACTCTCTGTGTCGTATTACATAACATTTCGATATTTTGCTAGGTTATTTAATTTAGTGTGTTCTTTCTCCCTCTCTCCTAATGTTCAAGCTTGCGTACTTTACTACGCGTCTTCTTCGTACTCATTGGCATGTAAGTTTTGTCTCTAACCCCTCCCTCTCTCTGCCTCCGCCCCCCTTTGTCTATTTAACGCCACCCCACAGAGACGACCCCCCCTCTCTGTACCTGTGTTACTTTCTCTACGTATCTTGGTGATATCTGTCTGCTTATATGTCTGTCTATAGTTTTCTGGTTAGATTTTATATTTGCTATTTCATTATACCTGATGATGATTGCTTGTGTTGCAATCGAAACGTCGTATGCTATTATTTAATTTATTATTTTATCGTTGCTGGCTGTGAAAATCACGCGGCTCTCTCCTCCCCCTCCCACCCCCATCGTGGGTTCTTGAGATCGGTATTCTTAGGTGTTTTCGGTAAAGTCACGTAGGTAAAAAATTAAAATTAATAAAAGTGTGCCGTACTTGGCCCTTCCCCTCTTCAACCATTATATATACGGAGTGGTAGCTCTTGTAATCTCTCATTTACTTGATACAGCTGTCGTGGCTGTGACGGTTCCACCTGAAGACGGAAGCTTGTGTTGCCTCCGAAACGTCGTGATTTTTATTTTATTTTACTTTTATTAATTTAAATTTTTTTACCTACGTGACTTTACCGAAAAAACCTAAGAATATGAATCCTTGCAGTCACGAAAGCTTCAAATCTAGAATTCTTGAGATCGGCTTCGGGGCTATGGGGCAAGCAGGGAGGTAGCTGGCCTGGGCTCACTCTCAGACAGGGGGTGCCTGGGGGTGCCTGGGGGTGCCTGGGGGTGCCTGCCCCCCCCCACCCCCCGGTGGTTAAAGCTACGAGTCGCCCCCCCCCCCCCACCTTGACAACCACCGTGAGATGTATTTGCAACAGCAGTGGTGTTAAAGAACACGCAATTAATTAAAAACGCGGTTTAATTTGTTTTTTGTTGTGTTTGTGAAAATGCCTTAATTTACGTTCTCATACCTGTCAACCCCATATCGGTGCCCTACCTTATTATAGACCAATTCAGACCGAATTGGTCACCCCATGTCCCTTACACATCTCAACTTTCATCCTACAACGTCCCCATCACGAGGGAGAAACACAAACAAATTGACAAAAAATGTGTTGCCCGTATAGACACGGCTGTTACGCAGTATGGACCTGAAAACTCAATTTCCCCGTACAAGAATACGAGCAACGCATGTTGGTTTCTACGTTATTCTTGGGGCTTTCGGTAAAGTCACGTAGATAGTCTTCTTCTTGGTTCTTTCGGTAAAGTCACGTAGAAGGGAAATAATAAAATAATAAAAATAAAACATAATAAAATAATTCTCACGACGTTTCGGCCACAACGCAAGCAGCCGTCCTCAGGTGGAGAACAGGTCTGTCGAGAAGACAGTCTGAATGACTCTGTCTTCTCGACAGACTTGTTATTTTCATCTTTATTTGAAGCTTTCGTGACTGCAGGAATCCATGCTCTTTGGTTCTTTCTGTAAAGTCACGTAGGTAGACAAAACGTCTTCTCGACAGACCTGTTCTCCACCTGAGGACGGCTGCTTGCGTTGTGAGAATGATTTTATTATGTTATTTTTTATTATTTTATTATTTCCATTCTACGTGACTTTAACGAAAGAACCAAGAAGATGAATCCCTGCAGTCACGAAAGCTTTGAATCACGTAGATAGGTTCAAAGAAAATAATAATTAAAAAATAACAGAAAACTACGACAGAAAAGTACGACTTTTTCTGTTTTTTTTATTATATTATTTTTACCATTCTACGTGACTTTACCGAAAGACAAAATAATATTAATTCCTGCAGTCACGAAAACTTTCATCTCGATTTGAAGCTTTCGTGACTGCGGGAATCCATACTCTTTGGTTCTTTCGGTAAAGTCACGTAGGTATAAAATTAAAAAAAATCACGACGTTTCAGGCGCAATACAAGCGTCCGTCATCAGGTGGGAAAGCATGGTCTGCTGCTGATGCAGACTGTTTTAAAAGGTTTGAAATGCGTGTAGCCCAAGGGTCATAAAGCTTGAAGTCAAGGTTTCTGTTGTCGTTGTCGTCATCGTCACGGCTTAACCAGGTAGACAAGCAGAGCCTTTCTTCCAGGCTGTTGTGTGACTATTGAAATGTTTAGTATTGGAAGTAATAGAAACGTAATGTGAACGTAACGAAACGTCATTTGCTTCCAATGACGGTAACTTGAGTAAAAAAATACATCGGGCATGGAACTCAGTTTCTGTGATATTGATTTCATTAGATACGCGTCAATTATACTGGTAGGAACCTCCTGGTTACACCGGCCCACAGGGGATTATTGTGTCCGTCCGTCCTTCTTGCATCCAAAAATGGGAGGGATGGGGCTGGGTGGGGAGGGGCTGGGTGGGGAGGGGAGGGGCTAGGTGGGGAGGGTGGGGCTGGGTGGGGGGTGGGAGGGGTGGGGCTGGGTGGGGAGGGGCTGGTCACCCCGTGGTGCCCTTATAAAACTCAACGTTTAACCTACTCACGCCGGCTTGTGCCCGCCCTCACAGTCGGGCATATTTGCGGAATACACCACGCCGCCGTTGGCCCTGGCCATTGACCGAGCAACCCAACGTTCCTACCAGCATCCCTCCGCAGGAATGTGTTAATGTAGTGACTACACCACTGATAATGTAGTTACTACGCCACTGATAATGTAGTTACTACACCACTGATAATGTAGTTACTACACCACTGATAATGTAATCACTACGCCACTGATGATGTAGTTACTACGTCACTGATAATGTAATCACTACACCACTGAGAATGTCGCTACTACGCCACTGATAATGTAGTTACTACACCACTGATAATGTAGCTACTACACCACTGATAATGTAGTTACTACACCACTGATAATGTAGTTACTACACCACTGATAATGTAGTTACTACATCACTGATAATGTAGTTACTACACCACTGATAATGTAGTTACTACACCACTGATAATGTAGTTACTACGCCACTGATAATGTAGTTACTACACCACTGATAATGTAGTTACTACACCACTGATAATGTAGTTACTACACCACTGATAATGTAGTTACTACACCACTGATAATGTAGTTACTACACCACTGATAATGTAGCTACTACACCACTGATAATG